ATACGCCGACAAACGGTGTCGAAATAAAACAGGTCGGCAACGATGAAGCTGATGAAAGACCTACAACAGACAGAAAAGATAACAGATCTTAATCAGACACTAATCGATCTTGACATTTGTCTATAATATATGTAGAGTAATCGTTACTATTTATCAGTTTGAAAATGAAAAATGAAAGAAAACAATTTTCTTGTCAAATATTCATACACATATTAAATGACAATATATTTTAATACTTCTGACTTTTCTTTTTCTTTTTTTTTTAATTATTAAACAGTAATGATGATAAATGAGAATAACCGACCACATTCAATTTATCAATAGTGGTCATCGTCTCAATAAGCACTTGAACCTTTTTTTTTCTTGCCTTATAAGTATACTAGTGACGCAAGCTTATAATTCTGACAGATGCATACGGCAGCCGTAATCATTATTTCTTTTCAAGACAAACTTCATTGACTTGCCCAACGGATAGAAAAGATATAAACAGAACAAGTGCAGTTTGATAAGTATAGAAGAAGAAAAAAAAATGTATGACTTGTTATTTTTTCATAATGTACCCAATACTATATATGGAAAAGACAATCAAAATGCCATCAGGTTGTCGACGGCTCTTTCTATTACGTTCGAACAACACTCATACATATTTTTTAATACGGAAATTGAAAATCAATTTTTTTTCTATTTTTTTTTTCGAAGAGCCAATGGCGATTAAAACAGTTTTTCTTTTTTCTTTTCATTCATAATTGCTTAGTTGAAACTAATTTTTAGAACATGAATTACATCAGTATAAGAATAAAAAAATGACTTTTAAAAATAGAATGGCTCAATGCATCTTTTCAGAGATTTAGATTAGTTCACCTGTCTGAATATAACTTTTGATTAGATGATGCGATTAATAATCTTCTTTCTCGAGGGAGAAGAAACAAAAAAAGTACATGAGACTTACTGAAAGTCAATAGCATTAGAAATATATATAGAATTTCACAGGAAACCATGGTCATCGATCCTCATCATTTGATTTCGAAAAAACATGTTAATTTGCTGTTCATTGTTTTACATCTAAAAGAAAATATATAAGAAAATATGTCTGTTGTCACCCACCTATGGAGAATAAAATGAGTCGAGATGTCTGTCTATGCTTTTGTCATCTCAAGACACCTGTTACTTTCGAAATAAATGTATGTGCCATACACTTACGCTTGTCATTTTGTTCATCGTAACGACAACCATCAATGTAGTCTTTTTCGCTCTCTCATCATGTCGCAGAACTGAACTTAATTGTGGTAATAAAGAAAACGAGAGAAGGAGAGACGATTTTGTTCATCCGTTCTTTTTTTTTCTCTTCGGTCTCTCTCTCTTTCTTACGCTCAATGAACAGAACACGACAGAGAGAGAGAGAAAGAAAAAAGATGAGCATAAAACCGCAAACGCACGCGCCGTGCAAGTAAAAAAAAAGAGAAATACCAATGATTGTTGTTATTGTTAGAGAAAGTGACAAGTAGGAGTATCATTTTTCTACATATTATCAGTAGTAGTAGTAGTAGTAGTAGTAGTAGGTGAAGATCATCATCATTAGCTAATGGACTATAGTTTAATGATTATCCGCCTCTTCTACCATCTATCCAGTCAGATGCTATGCAAAACGAGATTTAACGCACAAGAGGATGTGTCAGTTGTTTAGATGTGCGTGTACGACTGGTCAGTATACGGGAGAAAAGAAAAGAAACATTATAATCACACGCGAGCTTCATGTCGCCCTTCTATTTAATTGACATGGTTGGCACGCCCTAATTAGACTTTCTCTCTTCTATTCATTGGAAAGCTTATTCTCATAGAGAACATCCGTTTGCAAGTAAAGAGTAAAAGCATTTTAAATCTCATCGCATTCTTCTTCTCTTTCATTGTATTCATATAGATAAATACAGATAGCTATGATCCTCTTTAACCTTGAGCTGAATAAACATACATTTTAACGCACGACAAAATTTTTCTGCTGATCCAGCATAGCCTCAAGTAATCGAGCTTGAATTCATAATCATAATCATTTCTCATCAACCTTTATAACCAACGTAATTTCAAGTCCTTGAAGATAAAGACTGTTGCAAACAAACTTTGCCTTTGGCTTATCATGAAAGTGAAATAGACGAACATCTGTATATATGCAAAACGGGCGTTTCATTTTTTGTGAACTGCCGACCACCCACTCATTTTATGGTTGTCGCATGATTAGATTTATAAAAGAAACGATGGGCAAGTCCAATGACATTGACGATAGAGATGAACATGGTCGTTTGATTTTCTTTTTACTTCACTCTCCATGACACGGGACAACGATGGAATTGAATTAGTGATGTGTCAAACGAACGAGAGACCGGAAAAACATGCTGAAGATATGAAAATGAAGAAGAAAAAGAAATGGAACATGTCATCTGTCGAATAAAAGAGGTCATCTCATTTTTCATAGACAAAACTTCTTGATTAACGCCTCAAGTTCATCTAAACATTCCATCTTGACGCCAATGTCAGACTTAAAATTAATATAATTAAAATTAATTTATAAATGTTTCTTTTTTCTTTTTTCCGTTACAAAGATACCATGAAAAACAAAAAGAAAAATTGATAAATTTCGATGCAGTTGTTCATCTTATCGTAAATACTTTGATCTGTCAGAAAATTAATGGATTGAATCAGATGCTGTCTCTGTCTCTGTCTCTCTCTCTCTCTCGATTGATTATATATGATGGTTCATCAAAATTAAATGAAACAGAAAGAAAATTACTATTCCGGAAGCATAAAAAAAGATGAGATAGAAAAAAAAAATTTGATGTTTTATTGATTTTAGACAATTTTCTATGTGTCTATGAGAATATTTATAATTGAATTAAATATTTAATGAGTAGATAATCATAAAATAGATTTTATTTATTGATTCATTAATCTATTACATAATATTTTTTCTGGTGAAAATAAATCAAAACAAATTGACTATATCATAACCTTACATATAAATGTTTATTGACTTTCTATTGAAACACGTGTATAAAATCATACGAGATAAATCCATTCAACAAAGGATAGAGATGTCTATATTGTGAATTGATCTGTTGATGTGAACTTACGAACACGTTCTTTCTTAATATGATATCATTTGTATAGAACATGTCTGAAACAATATATTTATTTCTATACTATTTTTTCTTTAGATTTAATAAAAAGAAAAGACCATAGCCAACCACTCTGAATGTGGTCACTTCCCTCCTTGTCGCATCACGATGGACACGACAAGGTGCGATCATCAAAGGAAGCAGGCCGAGCTCTCGAGAAGAGAGCAGCCCCATCCTACTTCACGCTCAAGAAGAACCACTGCCACTCGTCATCGTGGGTTGTTTGGGTCTTCTTTGGCTATGGGTGTTTTGTCGATATGTACTACAGAAAATGATCCTGTGAAGTACAATCTTAACGTTTTCTATGTTAAAGTGGACTTTTTATAGGCATCTATCGAGCAAATATTGCACAGTATATCTTTTGCATTTGCGTTCTCTTAACTATGACTCATTCATTCATATGATAAAGGAAAGAAGGAAAGAAAAAAAATATAATTTCATATATTCACTGATTTAGGTTATAAAGTGCAACATGTTGAAAGATAAAAAAATAGAAATCGATGACTATAATAGGTAAATAATTCAAATTTTCCAACTAATAAAATATTTTTTGTTGATGTCAAGATGAAATAACTTGAAATTCAATAATGAAACACAATTTATAAAGAGAATTATATAAAAATTTATTTACGTGCAAAATTAATATGCTCTAGCACTTTACTAAGAACTAACAAGAGTGATTGAGTTGAGAATTATCTTTACCTTTAACAATGTAAAATTTAACAAAAGAGTTATGAAATGAATAAACAGAATTTTTTTATCAAAAGACTTTATTATTCTTATATTCTTATCATCTTTCGTTGATTGGTTGCTAAAGAAAATATTAACTGTAATATCATGGAATTTAGAATGATTCGTTGAAGATTTGACAATATACGATCTTGGATAAAAGTAGCTACTCATAAAGTACTACTATTCTTCATGATATTGAACTAATATTTTCGATGCATGTGTGTGACAATAAACGCTGATTACAAGCACTAACTCATCCCTCAGTCGGGTTACATTGACTGAAGTTACGATTCACACATTATCTTCGTATTGGGAATGCTTTATCTAAAGCATGTTGGCAAAAATATTTTCGTCCAACCTGTTATTCGAAAGATCAATGTCGTAGCTATTATCCAGTCTAAATTTTGTAGAAATCACTTGAAAAAAACTCAGATATTATCTTCTCATTAAGAGTGTCTGTTGAAGTGCAAATATTGATTTGTGGCAAGATCGATCTTTTGCGTGATGACTTAGACCGATTCATCTAAACATTTCAGGTGAAAGTTCCCATAAGACCCTGAGTCTCTGCTGAAAGTTTCAGAATCGAAGGCAGAATGTGCTGAGAACAAAGATATTAAGTAGGTATCATGGGTTTTATTGATAATAAAATAGAGATATGGAATTGCAATTAGCACTAGAAAGACCAGTAGTAGTTGGTGGAATAGCAAAGACTTTTCAAGTGTATATTTTCGTTGAATATGATTTTTTGATAAGAGAAAAATCATTTGGGAATCATAACTCCAGTACATGTGAATGGTAACAACAGTAGCCGTTCTTAAGGAGTAGTTACTTTTGTCGAGGATTGTATATCAATCATATGGAAATGTTCTTCATAATCTATTGAACAATATCATTAAGAATTCATGCTTTATTATTAGTCATTTGTTTAAAAAAATGAAACAGAACTTCAGTATAATATAGAAAAACTTCCAACTAAGACAAATTAATATAAATTATTATTGAAAGTAAAAGATAATGACAAGATAAAAATCTATCAGAAAAGTTTGTTAGATTTCTTGAATAATGAATTAAAAACCAGTAGTCTATATGAATGAAGATAAATTAGGCTTTGCAAGCTTTTTCACATTCTGTTTTTGTAAGAAAATTATTTTTATTGCCTTGACATCCTCCATAAACAAATGATTCACAGCTTTTCGTTGCTGAATTATAATAGAAACGTGGCATATGTGCAAAACAATTACCAGCATCTTTTGGTAACTTACACGCAACTAGAAGAAAACATAAGAAAATGAATATATTCGTAAGTATTTAAAAAAAAACAGGAGATTACTATTAGAAACACTCTTTTCATGTGTATTTCCATCAGGATTCTTCGATGAATATGTACCACAACGAGCTTCAAATGTTCCATCAGGTTTCTTATCAATAAAACATCGTTGTTTAGATCCACAAAGTTTTCCCTACGAAAAAAAAAAATTATCGAAAAAATTGTCATTCAAATCGAATATAATAACTTTTCCAGGTGGATTACATGGGTCATTACATTTACAAATTTCACAACCATCTAGTTTTTTTTGATAACCATATGGACATTGTTTTGGCTTACCTGGACACTTAACTGGTCCACATTCTTTTTTATTATTAGGTTTTATCGTATCAGTGTTTGAACTTCCTCCAACTGAAACAATCAAAAATAAGCCTTATTGTATGAGTAATACAATGATTACCTCGAATAACTGCTACATCAATCATTGGCGATGCTGATTTACTAAAGTCAGCTTGTGTGCGAACATCATTAATATATAAAAGTTTATCGTCAGGTCCAGTGATTCTCGCTTGAATTGCATAGGTATGATGAGGTTTAATATCCGATGGATTATATTTAAGTTTATATGAAATAGGAAATATTTTTGCATTAGTTATAGTAGTCGATGCAATTAATTTCGAAGCTACATCCATTAAACTAACATCACGTAACTCAACTTTTACTTGTGAATTTTTATCTATTGTATTTGAACCAGCATGAGTTACTTTTCCTGTTATAAATTTTTCAATAATAGCACCTAAAGAAAAATTATGAATTTTAATAGTAATTACTTTGAATTGTATACTCACTTTCAATAGTATAGATTAGAACTAAACTAATAATTGTGAAAGAAAATAGACGAAACATCGTGAATAGACAAGTTTTAAACGACTGTCTATGCCAACAGTAAGATTATATATATATATATCAGTAATGGATATCCTATGTACTGATTAAACTTGTTGTGCTTCCCTTTGTACGTCCATCAGAAATATATTCTTTTTACAGCTATTTATATCGATAATTATTTTCTCCATCAGAGAGAGAGATAACCTTGATTATGATAGATGAGAATTCATCCATACTGGTCGATTATTCCTTATATGTAGTATAGTTTTGTTATGATACCAAAAGACAGAAGGCATCTGTAAAGCTGGTACTACTTCATTAGGGAAAGGATAACAATGTTGTGTATATAATCAAGAATGCAATGTAGAATAATGGCTGAGAAGTATTAGAAATACATAATATGCTTTCTTCTGTTGTTTCAATAAAAAAAGAATATTAACTTTGATAAAATTTTCATGATTTCAGATCGATTAAATCCATTATTTACATTGGTTTTATGTTGAACAATGCTATAACAAATCAATATAATGCACATTGAATCAAAAGAAAATTCCAATCATTTTTATACTTAATAAAATATTAAAAACATAAGAGATCGGATAGAAAAAACCTCAACACTTAATTGGCAGGCATTCTTTATCCACAATGCTATCAAAACTTTTAGGATTTTATATGACACCACCTAAAGAATTAGAAAATATCATAATCGAACTTAATATTTTCTTATGAATTTCTCATCTTCAATTGTATGAATGAATGTTAAAAACATAATAATTATAGAAAATAGATATGTATGTGTCAGTATGAATTTGTTGTTGATGTGAGTAGAATGTGTCATTTTCGAGTTCAACTACATCCCGAACTAGACACTCTTCTACATAACCATATCTACCCATCTGTATACCATCCTTAGTTTAGGTCAGTGATCTAAAGAAGCTTTTGCTGAACATTATCATGCTGATGCTGTAATATTATTCGATGTAAAGACTGTCTTCGACGGTGTCTGGAACGATGCTCTGGTATATTAATTGAATGAAATCATGCATACTAACATATCTCTTTTATGGGATAATACCATTATTAACCGATAAAAAACGTCCTTCGAATTAAAAAACTAACTCTCACGAACATTGAAACTTACGAGGAAACATATTTGAGTGTGTCCCTGAGAACGGGTTCAAAAGCATTCTATGTGTTAGGGATCTCGATGAATATCTCGAATATCAATTTCTTAGATGCTTTCATATAGGTCTCGAAAACCTAAAGTGTCAAACTTTTTCATTTTTAAGCTCTTTCTTACTAGTAGATGTATCATATCCCTTTTCTCTTTTGATTAAATTTGCAGGAACAGGTAGTTTTCTTTGGAAGAAAACAACTTGAAATGAGCATAAATCGATATGAAGGAGTCATCTCGTTATCACAAGTGAAGAAATCATGTCTATTTTTCAACTTAGCTATTTATATCTGCTGCATTCCTGTATTATTAAAAACGAAAAGTGATCAATCAGATAAGCGTTTGCTTGCGACATATAGATATGACATCTTCCCTTGTGATAACGAGACGGCTCCTTCGTATCAATTTATGTTCATTTCAAGTTGTTTTCTTCCAAAGAAAATTGCCTGTTCTTGCAAATTTAATCAAAAGGGAAAAAGAATATGTTACATTGACTAGTAGAAAGAACCTGAAAATGAAAAAGTTTGATATTCGAGGTTTTCGAGACCTACATGAGAGCATCTAAGATATTGATATTCGAGATAGTCATCGAGATCCCTAACACATAAAATACTTTTGAACTCGTTCTCAGAGGAGACACTCAAATATCTTCCCTCATCAGTGTTGCTGACAGACTAGATCACAGGGTTTCTTCCGCTGCATTTGTCTTAATATCACTCATTTTGACGAGGAAACCTTAAATAAGATGAGCTAAATTCCGTTTGGACTTCAATTTTTCACCTGTGTTTCACTAACTTTGATTGGAAAGAGTAGGCTTTGAGTGAAAACTAATTACATATATGAGATTAGTATAAAAAATTCAGTCAACTAATATGAATTTCAAAGTTTTTCGATAAACTTTTTGTTCTATCAAAAAATTGAGATGGGATTTCCTTGGCATCCAGTCAAACAATGAATTTAATTAAAAAATAATTTTACCAGTGGAAGATAAATTCTGAGCCTACAAAACGTCACTGCGAAACAGAAAAACAACAACTACACAACAGAAATGAAGCGTTGATTAAATTCATCGTTTGACTGGATTCGGAGCGGATTTCAGCACTATTTTTTGAGAAAAGAAAAATTTGTCAAAAAAACTTGAGAATATCGAGTCAATGCGGGTGCGGAGTGTGGGAAGAAATATGGTAAGTGTAAATATAGCTGTGCACATGTAGATGGGTTTGGATGAGTATGGAAAAGTGTTGCAACCGACAAGGTTTTTTCCTTACTAGTACTGATCTGAACCGGTCAGACCTGATCAGACAGCCTGGTAGATCGGCATGAGCCAGTGTTTACTTGTTTTATTTTGTAAGAATCAAATCAGCCTCTCGATTGGTCTTACCTACCTCTAAATCATTAAGAAAATTACGTAAGGCGTCTCTCTTACTTTTATAGTGCTTTTGTAAAGGATGATTATCAATAAATGTTCCAGTATATGACGAGAAAATTGATCCGACCTTCTCCAGCTTCCTCCAAAAATTACAATAAACATACCAATGTTATTGTAGCCTACTAGAAAAAAATTTGATATGTCTATAACGACTTAACAGGCTTTTCGGCATGCTGACTTTTGGTCTCGTTATAGTCTGTCATTTAGATGATAAGATTTTTCCAAAAGGGAAAAGGAGAAAGTTTTGTGCTTCAGCGTACTTCAAGCGTAAGTCAAAACTATTCTTTATCACTTTCTAATCATGTAGAGTGAAGTGTTAAGACATGATGCTCAAATCTTAAAGTATAATGAACAATTTGGGCTTACTATCAGACAGACTTATATATAATAAACTCAGACTAATATGCTTGTGACACACGCTGTTTGTAGAATTGGAACAGCCAACAAGCTCTAGGTAATAGTTTTGACATACTCTTGGAGTACGGTAAGATACGGAGTTTTCCATAGTACCCTCGTGGGTTCCATAAACAGTTAGGGTAGTTCCACTGTGTCTAATATTTTAATTCTGTAAGGATTGTGCTGAAAACTTTCTCTTCAATATCTTTTTCTGTAAGTCATTCTCTCTTTTGATATCGATCGATGGGCTTTTCAATTAATAGAAGTATTCTAATTCATGCTTCTCCACAGAAATAGTAATTTATATCAGTAAACCAGATTTGATCTGCAGAAACAAAAAACCTCTATGAGCAATTTAAAACAAACATACAAACATCTGAAAAAAACCTAGACCGGATCGGACCGACCGTTTTCGTTTTGGTTTGCCACACTGCAAGACCAAGATGATAATTGTCGTTTGATTTTCTTTTTACTTCACTCTTTATGACACAAGAAATGGATGAAATTGAATTAGTGATATGTCAAACGAATGAGAGACCGGAAAAACATACTGAAGATATGAAAATGAAGAAGAAAGTGAAAGGGAACATGCCATCTGTCGAATAAAAGAGGTCATCTCATTTTTCATAGACAAAACTTCTTGATTAACGCCTCAAGTTCATCTAAACATTCCATCTTGACGCCAATGTCAGACTTAAAATTAATATAATTAAAATTAATTTATAAATGTTTCTTTTTTCTTTTTTCCGTTACAAAGATACCATGAAAAACAAAAAGAAAAATTGATAAATTTCGATGCAGTTGTTCATCTTATCGTAAATACTTTGATCTGTCAGAAAATTAATGGATTGAATCAGATGCTGTCTCTGTCTCTGTCTCTCTCTCTCTCTCGATTGATTATATATGATGGTTCATCAAAATTAAATGAAACAGAAAGAAAATTACTATTCCGGAAGCATAAAAAAAGATGAGATAGAAAAAAAAAATTTGATGTTTTATTGATTTTAGACAATTTTCTATGTGTCTATGAGAATATTTATAATTGAATTAAATATTTAATGAGTAGATAATCATAAAATAGATTTTATTTATTGATTCATTAATCTATTACATAATATTTTTTCTGGTGAAAATAAATCAAAACAAATTGACTATATCATAACCTTACATATAAATGTTTATTGACTTTCTATTGAAACACGTGTATAAAATCATACGAGATAAATCCATTCAACAAAGGATAGAGATGTCTATATTGTGAATTGATCTGTTGATGTGAACTTACGAACACGTTCTTTCTTAATATGATATCATTTGTATAGAACATGTCTGAAACAATATATTTATTTCTATACTATTTTTTCTTTAGATTTAATAAAAAGAAAAGACCATAGCCAACCACTCTGAATGTGGTCACTTCCCTCCTTGTCGCATCACGATGGACACGACAAGGTGCGATCATCAAAGGAAGCAGGCCGAGCTCTCGAGAAGAGAGCAGCCCCATCCTACTTCACGCTCAAGAAGAACCACTGCCACTCGTCATCGTGGGTTGTTTGGGTCTTCTTTGGCTATGGGTGTTTTGTCGATATGTACTACAGAAAATGATCCTGTGAAGTACAATCTTAACGTTTTCTATGTTAAAGTGGACTTTTTATAGGCATCTATCGAGCAAATATTGCACAGTATATCTTTTGCATTTGCGTTCTCTTAACTATGACTCATTCATTCATATGATAAAGGAAAGAAGGAAAGAAAAAAAATATAATTTCATATATTCACTGATTTAGGTTATAAAGTGCAACATGTTGAAAGATAAAAAAATAGAAATCGATGACTATAATAGGTAAATAATTCAAATTTTCCAACTAATAAAATATTTTTTGTTGATGTCAAGATGAAATAACTTGAAATTCAATAATGAAACACAATTTATAAAGAGAATTATATAAAAATTTATTTACGTGCAAAATTAATATGCTCTAGCACTTTACTAAGAACTAACAAGAGTGATTGAGTTGAGAATTATCTTTACCTTTAACAATGTAAAATTTAACAAAAGAGTTATGAAATGAATAATCAATATTGTATAATCAACTGATTTGACTTTTCTCCTGATAACAAAATCTCTTATTTTGAGAAGTGGATTCTAAAGATTGTCTTCTGGTTTTGAGTTCTGACAGTTTCGATTTTAGCAACAATATAAATCAACAAAAAGCATAGAAGAAGCAAATAACTGTTATAGTTAGAAACAATAATGTTCTAGCTCATTTTCTTGATAATGAAGATGCATTCAATTCATGAAAATGAGTTCCCATATCTGTTTTGTGCTGGTTTCAAATGATTATTGCAATTCAACTTTCAGTCATACAAAATTTGTATAAAATGACAAAAGAAGTCGAACCATAAATCACTTTATTGGTGCTGAAACGAAGATTTGAATAATCAGCTATTGGAATTTTATTAAATTTCACAATTACTTCCTTAATGACCAAGAATTGTCTAAGCGAGTTTTTCTCAGCAGACAAATAGATTCGTGTTACCATCATCATGAGAATGAAGTTCTAGATACTTTACTTTCCATTTCCGATTTGACTTTTGACATATCCTTATCAAATACTTATTCCTACTTTCTTTTCACCAGTTAATGAACAGGTATAAGAATACCAGTCCAATAAAATACATCAGATTACAGAGATGTTTAATAATCTCAAAAACAAATTCCTAGAAGAATAAATTTTGAGCGTTTTTCGACAACTATTCTAATATACCATGAATACAACACCAAAAAATGTTGACAGTATTCTCGCTTACTCAATTATATTATGGTTGGGGCATGTTCGGATCGTTACTGATAAAAGAAATCAACGTTTTTCTAGCAGAAGTCGTTCTAAATTTGAAGTAAGGAGCATTCCGAAAAACCATGAAATCGCTCAGTTCTGTGGTTTTAAGTGTACTTCTGACTGGTCTTTTTTCTAACTTTTCTAATGGCTGACACTATGGATCGGACATTGTATTGCAATCGGAATAGATAGATTTCCAAGCAGTGATTTCTTCAAGACATTCAGATATACACCTAATTGCCTATCTGTTTTTGTTTTATTTCATATATGATATACTTATTCTCATTGCTCAGTTGGTAAAGACAAGTTATAAGAGTTTATAAGAGTGACCATTTTGCTTCTCTGAGAGAGAAATATCTAATACTTTTTTTTTTACAAAATTTTAAAAGATCCTAGTGTTTTCTACCAAATTTTATGTGGAAATCTCCCGGTTTGGATTTAGCAACCCTGATTATCTGTCTGAGGAAAGTACTAACTGTAATATAAATTATAGAATGATTCATTGAAGATCTGACAATATGCAATCTTGGAGACAAGTAGCTGTTTCGCATGAAGTACTACTATTTTTGATGATATTGAGCTGATATTGTAGATGTACACATGCACCAATTTGCTCCATCATATGCTTATATATACTGAAGTTATGATACAGGCATCATCTTTCTTCTGTGATCGCGTTATCTGTATCATGTTGGCAAAAATATTTTCATCCAATCTTTCATTCAAAAAGCCAATGTCATAGTTATTTCTAGTTCCAATTTTGTTTGAGATCACTTTAAAATAACTGAGATATTGTTTTCATTAAGAATGTCTGTTGAAGAGAAAATGTTGATTTGCAGTAAGATGAATTGTTTTCATGATGACTTAGATCAATTCATATGATTAATTATTAAGATCTCGACTAGATGTCATGAGCTTTATTGTTAAAAAAATGGAGAGCATATGTGTTTTGACAAGACCAAGAACATGTGACAATCATAAATCCGATTTATGTGAACTGATCAAGGGTAGATTGATGCTTGCAATTAGAGTTTATCGTTATATGCATACATTCAAAATATTAGCTCAATACCATCAAGAATACTAATACTTCGTGTGGAGCAGCTACTTTTGTCCAGCTATGTATATCAATCACATGGAAAGATCCTCCATCATGTATTGAACAGTATCATTAAGGATTCGTGCTTTATTTCAGCATAATATACCAAAAGCTTCGAATTAAGACAATTCATATCGATTATTATTTAAAATAAAGAAAATGAATACGATAAAAATCTATTAGAAAAGTTTTGATTGATTTCTTGAGTATTACATTAAAAAAAAACAATAGTTTGTATGATTAAAGATAAATTATGCTATGCCCAGTTTGTAACGCAAACTTTTTCACAAACTGATTTTTATTGCCTTCACATTCTCCATAAACGAATGGTTCACAGCCTTTCGTTGCTGAATTTATAATAGAAACGTGGCATATATGCAAAACAATTACTAGCATCTGTTGGCAACTTACACGCAACTAGAAGTAAGTATTTAAAAAAAACAGGAGATTACTATTAGAAACACTCTTTTCACGTTTGTTTTCATAAGGATATGTCGATGATGATGTACCACAATTAGCTTCAAATGCTCCATCAGGTTTCTTATCAATAAAACATCATTGTTTAGATCCACAAAGTTTTGCCTAAAAAACAAAAATGAATTATTGAAAAAAAAATTGTCACTCAAATCGAATATAATGACTTTTCCAGGTGGATTACATGGACAGAGCTTTCGTCTGGTTTTATTCAGGAGGGGGAGAAAGTCAGAGAGAAAGTCTTCCAAAGTCAGGGAGAAAGTAGTCGAAGCTTAAAGAAAGCTTTCTATTTGGGAGAAAGTGTCTGATTCTCCTTGAAAACCTAAAGAGAACGCATTATCTTTCTCAAAAACAGCTGCTTTTCTTTGAAATGTTGAAATAAAGTTTCTCTTTGAAAACTCGGCAGAAAGCTCTCTCTTTTGCATGGTTTTGGTCCATTTCCTCTATTGAAAATACCGAAAAACTCACTAAACAGCAGCTAACAAAAATTTCTCGGGAGAAAGGCAGAACGCGAGAAAAGAATTAAGTGAGGGAAAATCCCCATCTTTCACTCCCTAATCGTGTGGCCTGACAGCTGCAATTTTCTTTATATAGCAATAGCAGATTCAGATTCATTATCTCTCACTTGTCAGATGAGTCAAGATATCAGAAAGAGACTTAAATTCATAATGATTTCCTCTATATGATTCTAAGATTTTGAAATAGTAGATATCGTATACAGTCGTGCTCTGGCATTTTTCAGGCTCGTGCAGTCAGCCGTCTTGTCTATTCAAGCTTTGCTCGAGTGGCAGCCTAGTTTTTTTCTCTTTGACCTGTTTCCGCTTCTGTTTAAGTTTTATTTATTTTTCCTTTGATCAAACAGAAAAGAAATAAAACTCAAAAAGAAATGGAATTAGATAAAAGAGACATTTAAATAAAACTGAAAGAGAAACTGAATCAGGTCGACTTGATTCAGTTTCTCCTTGAAAGGAAATAGCTTGTTCTCTTAAAAAAATTGGAAACAGAACTTCACTTATGCATAGCCTATCTGATCCACCGAAAGAGTAAAAATCGTTAGCTCTTCATAAAAGAAAATTTCCTGGGAGAAAGGCAGAATGTAAGAAAAAATTTAGGAGGGGAAAATAACCCTGCTTCCCCCTCCTAATCGTAAGCTATGCACATGGATCATTACAGCGACAAATTTCACAGCCATCTGTGTTTTTTTTTATAACTATATGGACATTGTTTTGGCTTACCTGGACACTTAACTGGTCCACATTCTTTTTTATTATTAGGTTTTATCGGATCAGTGTTTGAACTTCCTCCAACTAAAACAATCAAAAATAAGCCTTATTGTATAAGTAATACAATGATTACCTCGAATAACTGCAACATCAATCATTGGCGATGCTGATTTACTAAAGTCAGCTTGTGTGCGAACATCATTAATATATAAAAGTTTATCGTCAGGTCTATTGATTCTCGCTTGAATTGCATAGGTATGATTAGGTTTAATATTCGATGGATTATATTTAAGTTTATATGAAATAGGAAATATTTTTGCATTAATTATAGTAGCCGATGCAATTAATTTCGAAGCTACATCCATTAAACTAACATCACGTAACTCAACTTTTACTTGTGAATTTTTATCTATAGTATTTGAACCAGCATGA